TGTATATCCATTAATTTTATTTCAACTTACACCTAGTTTAATGATATTTTACTAGTAATATGTACAAAATATAGCCTTCTAAAAAGTGTTTTTAAAAATATTTTATTTCCTAACCAGGTTACTTTTCTAGTTTAAGAGTTTAAGATTTTCTTTTAACAATGAACTTTTATTCTAGCTTCTATCTCTATTAGAGAGGAACAGACATTTCCCCATAAATTAGTGATCATGCTGCAAACACTAAGAAACCTTTTCTAATCCCAAATACTATTCTACAATTTCATCAAGTCCTCTAACCTTTCATTGCACTTTTACATATTAATGCATATCTTCTTCCAACATCTACATGATTTTTCTTCTTCTCTACTACAATTCAATACAGGTAGTTTAGAGTAGTTAATATAATTCCACATAATGTTGCATCTGTGTTTACATATGGCTCTAATCACATGCTTAAAAGTAATTTATACAGGGGAAAGCAAAAAAGGAGAAAAAAACAATAAAAACACAATTATGGGATATAATTGTGTTATTTTTAAAGTATCATTCCCAATTTGATAGAACTTTCTCAGTTCTCACCACATGCTTCAAAGTAACAAAAACTGTGAACACAGGGTACAAACTTTCAAAAATACTATAAACGAAAGAAAGAAAAAACCCCCGAAATATTCTATATGCTTTTACATAAGGCTCATCTTAACAAATGATTGATGCTTTCAATTTATAAGATAATTTAAGTTTTGCTCCATGCCACAATTGTATATGTTATGGCTTTGTGGTAAACTTCCCCAGTTCATAAAAGTAGTAAGTGAATCACACCTATTTACTACTGAGCTCTAAGAATTAGGTGAACACCAAATTCAAGAAACATCTGTCAGGAAATGTAAAACTATATTTACACACACACACAGATACACACACACACATAACACATACTCTTGAAAAACTGTGACACCCTAAAATGAGAAATTCACACAGGCTTACCTGGTAATTCAGGTAATTCCTACTTAATTCAAGATAAACAGTATTACTGTTGCATTATGATACTGCTTTTGTTGCATTTATAGAAACACCATTAAAAATAATTAGGGAAATAAATATTTCTAACATTTGACCTAACAAAAGCCTTCCAAAAGTTATATTAATATAATTATATGGACACACACCAAAAAGATATTACTGAATACATCAAGTCTCATGCAATTATTTATATGTCAAAGTTACATTACCAATTTACACAGTTTGAAAAGAATTAATGAATACAAACATACAATAATTATCAAACTAAAGACACTTTTTTGCTGCATTTAAAACATCAGAGCAAACTTATATTTCTTAATTTACAATTGATAAATGTAAAGTTTACACACTATCTTATTCTGATTCTTAACTTAATTCTGAATCAGAAGAGAAAGGAAAAGACAAAATCTAAAAATCACTAACATCTGAGTGACTGCTGGTTAACACTTTCTTTCGTTGTTGTCTGCCCAACCCATATATAGTTTTTTACATAAGTTATGGGAATATAATTAGAAAGTATTAACAATCAATTAATTGCAATTTTTCTTAACCATATTTAACAGTTTACAAATTTTAACATCTAAAATATATGTTTTAAAAAATAAAATAAAATATATGTTTTCAGGAAATCCTACAATGAATAAAAAAGGTTAAAAAGTATAGAAAATATGCAAAATAAATACAGGCCAATCATCACATATCTTTTCCAAACCTAATAACATAAAAACTTAAAAAAAAAAGCAGTAATACAACTGGTCTAAAGCAAGGCTGAATGGATAGCAATATCAATCTCAGTATTTAAAAAGCTCATATTTATAAAATTGTTCAAGTTAAAACATTTCTACTTCTTTCCATCTAAGCAGACTAGCAGACTAGAAAATGCTTATGCCTAATTTACCCAGGGCTAGTTTTAAGTAACACTAAGATCCAGAATTACACCAAAGGTCCCTATTAATGCAGAGGTCCCAATCAACAGGAGATAGACTTACGGTGCTACTACACCAATAATCATTTTTGTTAGCATCCTCTACTGGCGGTTTCCAAAGACAGCAAGTGGAAATGATGCAAATGACAGAAAAATATGTACCTCCTATTCCATCCAAAGTGAATTAATCAGCATGTGGTCATTAGTAGCTACAGCACATTTCTCTCCCCCTACCTCCAAAATGCATACATACGTACATCCGAAAACCACAGAGTAGAAGTGGAAAATTAGAAGACATATTTTTAAAATACAACAAACGAAGCATTACATTACAAATGGTAAAAATCAATTTTATGCAATTCTAATGCCACTGCTTTATAGATGACTAACATCATCACCATAAAGTTACTATCTAATGTTTGATGCTTTGGCCAAGCCTTGCTCAATTGGTTTACCCATGTCAAGTTACATTACTTGATTCTCCCACTAACATCCTACTCTGCAGATATATTCCAGAAAGGAAATTAAAATGTTTTACTGGAGGCCTAGCAATAAAATCTATATATCTTATTTTTAAATGAACAAAAAAATTACTTACATATAAATAACAACATAAAATATCTCTATGACTATCACCCACTGTACATATCATTTATTCCCTCATTAAAAAGATTTAAGAGTTAACATTTTTCATGCAATTCTCTCCAATAAACAATTGCAACTTAAATATGACTGCGTTGCTAAGAAATATTAACCAGCACCTATTCTGAGGTTTCACAACACAATGGCATATAACTTCATTTTTAATTTGCAAATTATAAGGCTTAATCAAATAGCATGGCTGTAATCATCGGCAATGGATGAAATGCATTTGAGAACAAAAAGAAATACAAGGACAGAGCCAAAAGTGATGAAAATGGAAGATACCTGTAGTGGTACGGTGCTATCTTAAACACCTTTTGTTTTCTGAGAGTAATGCCTACTGCAGACAAGACATTTTGTGCTAAACAGCCCAAATCTGTTTTTCTAATATTAAACACAAAGGAAAAACACTGACAGCAAGCGTGGTAAATAAATCCCTCCCTTGAGAATGAAAGCAGCAGACAGGAGGGGGCTGACATACATGCAGGAGAAAACTAAACACCATCTTTTTTCTACCTGCACAAGTTGCCATTTGCTGCAGCGATCGAGAACCTCTTTTTCCTGTTGATTTCAAGTACCTTTCAGGATAGCTTTTTTTCCCCCTTAAGTCATCTGTTGATATGCCTTATGAGTGTAATATTCATATCACAGGATCTTTAGGAGAAAAATCCATTCTTTCCTGTTCAGGTAAACATGTTTACAGCAGCTGCACAGACGCTGGGTGGTTCAGACTCACATGTCACACACATGTCGTCAGCAACAAGAAAAGCCCCTTTCTCTGGCGATGAACATTTTAAATAAGGTAAAAAGCGAGCAGCCCTTTCTGAACCAACTTACCTTTCATAAAGCCACATCAGCAACAGTGGCAACAGCTCAATATAGCACACTATTTGACGCTAAAACAGGAAATTAAAATTGCAATAGCCTATGCTCAGCTCCTTGCTGTAACAAGTCATCTTTCCACAATGACGATACCAAATACTAGTTATCAATCATAACTAACAGACGTCTTTAAAACGCAAATGTTTATTTGAATAACTAAAATCATTCATGAAAGCAGTGATTTTAATGTCGGCTCAAATACATTAAAAATATTTTTACGATTGGAAGGAAACATCTTGAAACAGCTTAAAATCTTCGTATCTGCTTCTAGACAGGAAATCCCACACAAAATCTAAAATTGCCAGGAAAGGTTACAAAACCTCGCGTTTCGCATCCCAGAGGGGAGGGAGAAAGGGAGCCCAGGAGCGGGGGTGGGGCGGGGGAGCACGAGAGAGTTTTTACTTAAACACGTATTTCCTCATTTTCTGGAAGAAACAGCAATCCCATTATAGGCGCATTTATTTCCCTACAGTTAAAAAGTCGTTTTAAAAATAACGTAGGAACCAAAACGAACCCCTCGGTCCGAAATGTACATGTAATTCCTTATATAGACTCGGCGGCAGCCAGCGGCAGGGCCGTTGCCGCCCATTATTATACAAACAGGTACCCGGCCGGCGCGGGCGGGGGATCTCGCCCCGCGCTCCCGCCGCCCCCGGGCGGAGAAGTCTCGCCCCTTTCGCCACAGGAACTGTCCAGACAATAACAATCAGCAGACATTTCGCCGCTGAACAAGAGGGAGAGAAAGCACAGAATCGCCCCCAAGATAAGAGAAATACCATCAACTTACAACGTCTCTCCAAACTGGAAAAGGCGACTGTGCAACAACAACCACATGTTCGGGTCTCGCTCTCTCTTGCTGTCTCTATTTTTTTTTTTTTTTTTTTTAACTCTCACGCCAGGCAGAGGGGTGTGTATTGCCCCGGCACACCAGCACAAATCAATAAACACTGCAGCTGCAGCGAGAGCAGCAGACCCGTGCGTCCGTCGGTCCGTCTGCCCCCTCCCCCACCCTCCTTCCACCCGAGACCGAGAGCGCCATCCAAGCTCCATTATCCGGCTTCAGCGCTCCGTGCGTCCGGCCCAGGTAACAACTTCCCCAAAAACCGAAAGAGAAAAATGAGAGGCATACGCACAGAACCCCATCCCAGCGCGGAGAAGGAGTTTCCCCCGGGGAGGGGGGATCTGTCTGTGCTGCTTCCCTGTCTCTAAGACCAGGTAACAACTCCACAAACACACCCGCTGCCCAGCTCGCCGCCATCCACAGATCTCCCACAGCAGCAAGTAGGTGCCCGCTCCTGCCCCGTCTCCCCTGCCGCCCCGCCAGCTCCCCACTGAAAGTGGACCTCACTCGCGGGGCTCGCCTCGGCGTCCCCAGCCGGGGGTCCAGGGCGCGGTGGTCGGAGGCGCGGGGGAGGAGGGGTGCTTAGGGACCCGCGCCTCCGCTCCGCTAATCCCCATTCCGCGAGCGCGCCTCGCCGGCCGGTCACAACTTTACCGCCGCCGGCCGAGCCCGGTCCGCCAGCGGCGCGCTCCGCCGGCGCCCGCGCACACGCGCGCACGGACGACACGCAGCCTGCGGCCGCCGCGTCCCGCCGCCGCCGCCGCCGCCGCCCGCCGCGCGCCCGCAGCCCGGCCCGGCCCGAGCCGCGGGGCCCGAGCGACGGCGCCGGCCGGGGCCGCGGCGCGGGGAAGCCACTCTGCACGGTCAGCGCCGGCCACAAGTTTGTTCCTCGGCTCCCGGGGGCCTCCGCGCTAAGGGAGAATAACGCGGAGGGGGCTGAGAGGAGGGGGAGAGGGGAGGCGCCGAGGGGCAAAAGAGTGGAGAAAAGTGCGAAAAGAAGCAACAGCCGCTCCACCCGGGACCAGAAAAGTGGCTGGCCGCGTCCCGGCCGCCCGCCCTGCGCCGGGGATGCGGCGGCTAACGGTCCAAGGAGGCGGCAGGGGCGGCAGGAGCCGCTAGGCGGAGAGAGACCAGGTAAGAGACATAACGGTTCAGGGAGAGCGAGCGGCCGCGGCGCGGCTCCGACAGCGGCAGCAGCGGAGGGGGGCAGAGAGCACTACTTTCTACTTTCCCACTCCACTTTGCCCGTCCCTGCCCCGGCCGCCCCCAGCCCGGCTCGCCCCCCTCACCCCCGGGGGCGCCCCGGCTGCCCGGCTCCCCCTGACTCCGCCGCTCCCCGGTCCCCTCCGCCACTCACCGTTATTGCGCCGCGGGTTCGCCTGCTTTCTGCGCTTACACCTGGGGCCATCCGCCATGATCCTCTCGCTTGTGTCTAAATGCTCGAGTCACCTCCTCCCCCTCCCTCCCCCTTCCCCCCCACCCCTCCGCCTCCACCCCTCCCCCCTCCCCACCGCACCTGGTTTACGACACTCGCGGCTTTACGACATCACCTTCCTTACACCTAGAGCCGCTCGCTCTACGGCCGGAACCTTGTTGCTAGGGAGAGGACGGTTTGCGGCAACCGTAGAAGCAGCTCAGTTTGAATTGAGGGGAGAGGGAAAAGTTTCCCTCAGGTGTCGTGGGTTGGGGGAAGGGGGCGTTGGGAAACTGTGGGGACGTGGTCAGAAGGGCGGCAGGCAGTCGGAGGGAGAAAGGTAAATTAGGAGGCTCAGCGGCGTTCTGCTTCTGAACTGGCCCCACCCGCTGTGGCTGCCTGGGGCAGGGACGGGTCTGGTTGATTGCTCTCAGGACCCTGTACCCTCAGAGCTGCCCCTCTCGCAGTGACCGGAGCAACCTGTCCTCCCTCTTGGTCAAGGTTGGGCTCCGCTCCCACGCAGCATGTGTTCTCTGAGCGCATCCTGGGGCTCGGGAGAGGTCTCTCTGGGCTACCCGGGGAGTTGCCAAGAGTAGAGGGAGGGCAGGTTCGGGGAACGGTAGGGACTGATTTGGGAAGCTCGGCCTCTGACGGCGAGGGCACGCGGCGTCACGAGAGAGGCTACCTGACCCCGCAGTTCTGACTCCCTTCCCTTACACGGACGCACGGTTTTCCCCCAAGCGAACCGGGATGGGAAGTGACTGCAGTTAGATAGAACTTCAGCTGGACTGAAAGAGAGGAGAGAAGTTCCGCTTGCAGGCAACACCGGCGGTGAAGCAGAATGAGTAATACCCACACGGCCCCAGTCTCACTTCCTCATCTGCACCAGGCTCTCACCTGCTGTCACCTCGGCCTCCCCCGCCCCGCCGTCCTGCTCTGGCCCTCCTCCCTGCTTTCTTTTCCCTTAGAGTAGACGGACGAGATCGGAGGCGCTGAGTCGTAGAGTTAAGGTACTAAGGGGCACGATTTACTACCTAAATGGGCAGTTACCGCTGAATAGGACCTTAAGGCAAGAAACAACGGCTGACAAATGTGGTCTTTGAAATTGATAGATTGCTGATCTTATCTCAAGTCCCTGACTTTATACAAGTTTGGGGATTTCTGAAAGACCATATAGATAACACTACAAATAGCAAGAAAGTCAAATCTTAAGTATTCAGTAGGATTTAGCTTTCCCTTCCTTCCCTCCCCCTCTGCCCCATTCAGATGAGGACAGGTCTTTGGTACCAGCTTTATAGAATAAATGAGCTGTATTTAAAATAATTTAGTTGTCAATTAACAATGGAAAAGTTACTGACAGAGAAATTGCGAAAACTGAAATGTGACATAGAGTTCTAAATAGCACAGTAAGTCACCCTGCACAGCGCTGTCCCGTAATAGGTGCTCAATAAATTTGTCTATAATTTTTGCCATACCTATGGCAAGATTATTATATTAAAATCATCTTTTAAACACTAGAATTTTAGAAGATCCATTAATCTCTTCAAACCCTTCAACTGAAATAAATTTACATCTGAAGTCTGGTAATTTAAAATTAGAAAGTTTAATCCTGAATATAGATGAAAATTTTCTCTTCCACATTTTCTTTGGCATTTTGAGAAGTGAATGCATTATTTATTAGTGCATGAAATGTGACTGTAAATATTCTTTGCTATACATTATGTCTATATATCTACTCATACTCGATGCCAAAACTAGAATCATTACTCTTAATGATCATTTTAAGTACAGGCAGTCCTTGATTTCCTTAATACCATGTCAACCGAACTTGTGTATGTCAGAACCAGAACCATGTCCATGTTTTGCTTGGTTCAAGCAGTAATTTTTTCCTACTTTCTAAAATCTGTGCAGTGTTCTTCAGTTGCCTCCTGAATCCAGCAATTCCTCCCACTGCACACAACTTTTTTACAGCTACCCTAATTTCCAGTCGCAGGGGAAAGAAATACTTTCTAAGTAGAAAGTGTGTAACACACATTTTACCTGGTCTTAAACTTAGGAAGTATGGCTCATATCCTTTTCTCCTTCTGAAGTGTCTGTCCTGTACCTCCCTACTAAGCTTCCTTCAGTATTCATCCTCACCTTAAAGTCAAAGAGAAAGGGACAAGTAGGTACTCATTGTCTTCCTTACTTTAATGGTTACTGGTTTAGTTAGCTTGGGCTAGACTTTTGTTGTTCATTTCTGTGCCCTCAGGATCTAGTGGAGTACCTAGTTATATAGTAGATGCTCAATAGGGAAATATTTCTTAAATTAATATTCTTGACCTTTCTTATATAATAAGTGAGGATTGTTTATCTGCCTTCATCACATTAGTTGTTTGGAACAGTTGAAATCATGGATGTAAAAGCTGATTACTGTCATTTATATCCTACCTTATTTTGAAACTAATTGATCTTGATTTTAGTGTCTCCATAATGGTTTTCCCCAAATGATTAACTCTGCTCACTCCTATGTTTTAAATATGCATAGGAAATATTATTGATATCTTAAATCTTCTAATACGAAATTTCAGTTTTGTAAAATCCTGGAATAATGATATATATTACAAATTGAATATTTGATTAATACATTTTGTTCACTGTAATGTTCCCAAAATTATTGATATCTAGACTGAAAAGAAAGCAGACAAAAGTAAATCTCAGAATAAGTTGCTGCTTTAAGCCTGATGCATATGTGATGGTTGCTTATCTCTTAAATATAATGAAAGAATTGGAAAAAATCTCTAGAATAAGTTTAGAAAAGGAAGAACTTTATTAAAATTGAGCTTTATTTAGTCAATTATACCTCAATAAAAAAATTTAGGTTCATTTAAATCAACCATGGTGGGGATACTAGTAAGAGTTTAACATGTATCTTATATCATTGATTTTAGTTATTATAGTGTCATTATGCAATATCTATTCAGTATATATACTCCTAATTTAAGTGTAAATGAAATGTTAATATTCTGCTTCTAGTGTGCACTGGGATTGCATGTGCTGAAAGGTATTCTGCTGAAAATGAATTACAATCTTTTTTAAATTTATAAGGAAAATGTAAATGGATAGAATATCCAATACTGAGGTTTTTTTCTATAAATTTTCCATAAACCCTTTGCACCTGCTATTTACTTTCCATGTAAGATTCATGTATAATAAGTTAGGATAAAATTTGACATAAAATTATTTTGAATTTAAAATGTAGATATTTCATGGTGTTCTACATCGAGCATATGATTTTCACATACCTCATTTCCTGAACACATTTGGGAAGTATAACTTCTAATATGATTCTATAATCTTCATCAAAATAAGAGGTTGGTTGTTTTTATTGAAAAATAACATTAATTACATCAACTAAATTAATTACATTACCATGTAATTCTAATCTTAGAGCTTTGAAAGAAAAAAGAATAAATTTGACACGGGTTACCCATCAAGGTACAGAATTTAGAAGTCCCCTAATGTTGCCCCTCATTCCTTAGCTCAATAATGACCCTGGACATGGTGTTCACAATGAGACAAAAGAGGGCCATGGTGGTTTAATTGCTGCAGTTTGACCAAATTCTATAGTCGCTGAGTCAGGAAGGAAACATGACTGCAGAGTGATCCAGAACCAACAGCTGCCTTTGGGACCCACACCAACTTTTCTAATAAAGTCTCCCAGGAGGTAATAATAGGGAGAAATGTTTTCCCCAAACCTCCATGTGGTTTTATTACATATTGCACCATAAAATGGTTTTTCCCTCTGGGGAATAAGGCTCCTATTTTTAATATAAGTCAATGAAATGTTAACACACAGAGCTTCTTATTTTGGGGGCATTTTTTCCAGGAACATGTCTAATACAAAGAGATGTAAGTATAAAATGTAGAAAAAGATGTTTGAAAGGTGTTAACATCCAAAAACTAAAACTAATGTTTCCATAAAATCACAGTAATTAATATAATTGTTTTCAAAGGCTGCCTTCATGGAAGATACAGTTTCTATTATTGATATCACTTAGAACATGAATAACTTTTTTTTTTTTTGGTATACTTGACAACTATAGGTAAATTAAAGCACAACATGCATATTCTGGATTTGAGTGAATTTTAAGTATATACCTTATCAGGGATCTGATACCTGGTTTCTACTGCTGTTTTTTTCCCCTTTTGTCTCCATATGTCTTTTCTCTGGCATCTTGATCTATTTATTTATTTATTTATTTATTTATTTATTTATTTATTTATTTATTTTGCAGCTGACTGGTTCTGCGACAGAGTATAGCTATTTCATTGACCTATAGTCCACAGATCCTCAGTTATAGTCACTGCCACTTTTCATTTTTTGGAGTATATTTATTTAAAATACTTGCAGTCAGTAACAGGTTTTCAATGTCCTACAATTGTGTTACACTCACATGAAAAAGTTGGCAATAAGAAACACCCTGTGTTCAAATATATCCACAACTTTAAGATCCCTGGTCAGACCCTTCTAATTCCTTCTTATGCCTCTATTTCTAGCTTACTCTCTTTATCCTAATTACATAAATAGATCACAGACTCTGCTCCTCTCCACTGGTTTATGTTTTAATCATTCTCTTCATGTTTCTTTGTGCCAGGTCTAACACAGATCTATTTGGATCAATTCCTTTCCCTCTTTGTTCAAAGTTTTTTGAGTCATCCCAACTCTGTAAAATGCTTT